TATTTGTCCCCAAAAATAAAACCCACCAAATTAATTGACCCATTAATTAAAAAACTTAGATGCCTTTGCCCCAATAATATCTGTATAAATAATTGTATATACATATGATGGCTACTTATTTGCTAGTTAAGCTTGGCTCTGAGCTTAGTAAAAAGCTATCTCAGTAAGTTATTTTGATTGGTTGATTTTAAACCATCACAGGAAAACTGATATTGTTCATGCCATTTATGAGGTCCACTAAAACAAATTGACGATAATAATTAATGCTGATTATGTTAATGTAACAGTCCACTAAAACAAATTTCTTTTGCCAAACTACCATAAATTCTCGGCCAACCACTCATATATAACCAGAAATTAATAGGCCAAATATTGTACGGTTTAGATATTAAAATTGGGATGGACCCCATATATGTTGTTCGATGGGAATTATTTATTTGCAAGCCATGTGCTAGCACCCAAGTTTGAAAATTCAACCATTGTTACTCTATAAATACCAGTTTGGGTACTCCCATTTCCTCACACCAAAACCTCTCTACAAGCTAATAAATCCTTCACTTTTATTTCTTCTTCTTCCTTCCATAAAATTTCATTATCATGGGTTTGATCAGTTATGAAATGGAGATTACCTCCTCAGTCCCTGCAGCCAAGTTGTTCAAGGCCTTCGTCCTTGATGCCGACAACCTCATCCCCAAGATCTTGCCCCAAGCCATTAAGAGCGTTGAAATCATCCAAGGGGATGGAGGAGTTGGAACCATCAAGGTGATCTCTTTTGGCGAAGGCAGCCAATACAAGAGCGTCAAACACCAAGTTGATGGGCTTGACAAAGACAACTTTGTCTATAATTATAGCATCATCGAAGGTGATGCTTTAATGGGTGTACTTGAAAAAATCTCTTACGAGACCAAGATCGAAGCTTCATCTGATGGAGGATCCATATGCAAGAATAGTAGCATATACCACACCAAAGGTGATGTTGGGATCACAGAGGATCAAATCAAGGGTGGCAAAGAAAAGGCCCTGGGAATGTTCAAGGCTGTTGAGGCCTACCTCTTGGCAAATCCTGATGCCTACAACTAAATACGGTTTAATATGTACACTCTAATATGTGGTTTGATGAGTGTGCCTTTCTATTTTTACTTATAGGTACTATTAATGCCTTCGCCTTTAATAAGGGGAAAAAACTCCATTTAAATTGTGATCATCCAGTTGTATGTATTGTTTTATATGATTGAAGAGTTCATGTTTACAATTTAAGTTCAAGTAAACAAAGCAGTTATTTGTTAATGATGATTTCATGTTCTTTCGATTCTAAGTTTCCATACTCAATTTTCAGATGACTTTTTCTTAATTTACCTGCTAATTCATTTTGCATTCAGACACACCATGGAGAATATTAGAGTTGGTAATAATGAGACTAGTAGTGTATGAATACTAAAATCATGAACGTGCGGACTACTTTTTATCAGGACCTAGTCTGAGTAAAGACAATTTAATTGTTTGATATTTCAATTGACTAACCAGACGGGAAAAACATCACTAGTTCAAAAATAACTTGTCGACCTTACCTCTCTCACAAACTCTTTCAAACTAAAATGAAAATAGCAACAAGGTGAGTTCTCTCTGGCTAAATTCATATTCAGTATCCAGCTACATTTATATTTTTTGATGATTTGGATCCGTGTCGTGAATTAAGATAAATATCATGAGAAAAAAAGTGAGATGTAAGGTCGACAAATTATTTTTTAATTAGTCCAGTTTTTCTCCTCTGGTTAGTCAATTGAAATATCAAACAATTAATTAAATTTTAACAATTAATTAAATTTTCGTCTATCTCTCATATTGACTTGGACTAGGTCCTGATAGAAAGTGGTCCTCGCATTCATGATTTTAATATTCATAAAGTAGTCTCATTATTACCAACTCTAATATTCTCCATGGTGTGTCTGAATGCAAAATGAATTAGCAAGTAAATTAAGAAAAAGTCATCTGAAAATTGAGTATGGAAACTTGGAATCGAAAGAACATGAAATCATCATTTACAAAAAATTGCTTTGTTTACTTGAACTTAAATTGTAAACATGAACTCTTCAATCATATAAAACAATACATACAACTGGATGATTACAATTTCAATGGAGTTTTTTCCCCTTATTAAAGACGAAGGCATTAATAGTAGAAAGGCATACTCATCAAACCACATATTAGAGTGTACATATTAAACCGTATTTAGTTGTAGGCATCAGGATTTGCCAAGAGGTAGGCCTCAACAGCCTTGAACATTCCCAAGGCCTTTTCTTTGCCACCCTTGATTTGATCCTCTGTGATCCCAACATCACCTTTGGTGTGGTATATGCTACTATTCTTGCATATGGATCCTCCATCAGATGAAGCTTCGATCTTGGTCTCGTAAGAGATTTTTTCAAGTACACCCATTAAAGCATCACCTTCGATGATGCTATAATTATAGACAAAGTTGTCTTTGTCAAGCCCATCAACTTGGTGTTTGACGCTCTTGTATTGGCTACCTTCGCCAAAAGAGATCACCTTGATGGTTCCAACTCCTCCATCCCCTTGGATGATTTCAACGCTCTTAATGGCTTGGGGCAAGATCTTGGGGATGAGGTTGTCGGCATCAAGGACGAAGGCCTTGAACAACTTGGCTGCAGGAACTGAGGAGGTAATCTCCATTTCATAACTGATCAAACCCATGATAATGAAATTGGATGGAAGGAAGAAGAAGAAGAAATAAAATTGAAGGATTTATTAGCTTGTAGAGAGGTTTTGGTGTGAAGAAATGGGAGTACTGAAACTGGTATTTATAGAGCAACAATGGTTGAATTTTCAAACTTGGGTGCTAGCACATGGCTTGGAAATAAAGAATTCCAATGTAACAACATATATGGGGTCCATCCCAATTTTAATATCTAAACCGTACAATATTTGGACTATTAATTTCTAAGTCGTTGGCCGAGAATTTCTAGTAGTTTGGCAAAAGAAATTTGTTTTAGTGGACTGTCACATTAACATAATTAGCATTAATTATTATAGTCAACTAAGCTCAGAGCCAAGCTTGGCCAGCAAAACTGTGATTCATTTACTCAATTACAAGATAATAAAGTCATCCAATCATGAAGTCCAAATAAGTAGCCATATAAACATGTATATACAATTATTTACACAAATATTATGGGGGCAAAGACAACTAAGTTTTTTAATTAATGGGTCAATTAATTTGATGGGTTTTATTTTTGGTGACAAATATAACTGTTTGGCCTTGAAAAAGCTGCAAGGTCGGTTCCGATGGAACCGGGTGGGCGTGTCAGGAATTGCACTAGTTCCAAAGAGAGATCCAAACAATATTCCAGAAGAAAGACTGCTGGACCAGGTGATTGTGTTGAGGTCTGAAATGAACACCTCAGGGTTCTTTTTGTATTTAATAAAGGACTTCGGGATTGTTAACTTGTTAGGAAGAACTGAGAAAGTAATTGGAAAGACTATGAAATTATGTAATGAAAAGTAAAGTGCAGGACTGAAACTAATCAGCATTGCAATGAAAAGTGAAGTTGTATTGAAATGCTGTGTTTGGCGTTGAGCAAGCCTATTACATTATACATAATGACCTATTTATAGAATGAAAATATAACAATTAACAATAGCAGTTTCATTGATGCCACTAAAAGCTGCCAAGTGTCCCAAAACATGTAATTGTACCTTTCTTGATCTTTCTAGAACTTCCACGTCCCAAACAAAGAAACGTGCAAACGTGGTTCTAGAGCTCCAATGTTCCAAACATGCAATCGTGTTTGATTTTTCTGGAACTTCTATGTTCTTCTTCCTACATTCTTTTCCCACATTCTTATCGTGTCTGGAGCTCCCATGCAATTGTGCCATCATGTGATCGTGTTTTAATGCTTCTAAAGTTCCAACGTTCTAAACATGCCAACAATCATGTGATCGTGCTTTGATTCCCAAATAAATTACACGACTTCCTCTGTCTGAGCAAATGGCCACCACTCCTATTTTCCTGGATGGTGGTAGTAGTGGCCCCAAACATGCAATTTGGTTATGGCTATAGTGGTTTTTTTTAGGAAAACCGACCTCCATATTTTTAGGAACTCCAATCTCTCCACGTTTAATAATAGACACGTTCCTTTGACCAAGTCATCTTGTTCCTAGGTAACTTCTCCTGTGTTAGACTTCCATATCAATTTAACTGTCAAATAAATCGATACCCATGCCCCATGTGTCCTATTTCAACTGGAGAAATTGTTTGAAAACAAAAACCATCAACCACTTCTAATTAAAATTCCTTGAGTTTAGCCTTGACCCAAACTCCTTCATATATCACGAACCAGCTCAGCCCATAACTCCTTCCACGTGTGTATTTTTCATTGGGCAAAAATAAGGGTGTAAACAATAACTACATCTGTATTCTTATCAAAACTTCATCTCCTTTATTTTGCTTTAAAAAGATAGGAGATATCATTTGATTACAGTCAGATATGAATCTACCAAGAGTCATGGGTGTCTGAGGCCTCCATTGATTTTTTTTATATTTATTTCATTTATATATTAGGACTTATATTTTTTTTGTTACAAACTTAAAAATCTCACAATCAATTTTGGACAATGATTCAAATTAAAACCAGTTATGTTTCCTGATGCTGACCTGTGGTTGAAAATTCAAAGATGGTTGAATTTTAATTTTCTATTTACAAGTCATGCCAGCCAATTCATACCATCATCCAACGTTTTCTCACTCAATAATAAGAATTCTAGGGTCAGTTTTGTATTTCCACGTATTCGTACCATCCAAGGCTTTCTCACTTAATAACAAGACTTCTAGAATCAGTTATGTATTTCTAATTTTCTATAGGTAAGCGAATGTAAAACGTGGAAATTAACTAGGACACCATTTTGGAACGATGGGTGTATTTAGTTTCCCTTCACACTTCCCAACCTGTATCCTTACTCTATAAATACCACCTCGAGCCCTTACATTTCCCTCACCAAAACATTCTTACAAACCAAATCTATCCTTTTCATTCTCTATCTTCTTCCACCTCTTTAATCACATTCAAACTCCCAAGGCATCATGGGTGTGATCAGTTATGATATGGAGGTTACCTCCTCAATCTCTGCTGCCAAGATGTTCAAGGCCTTTGTCCTTGATGCCGACAACCTCATCCCCAAGATCTTGCCACAAGCAATTAAGAGTGTCGAAATCATTCAAGGAGATGGTGGAGTTGGAACTGTCAAGGTCATATCTTTCGGCGAAGGCAGCCAATTCAAGAGCGTGAAACACCAAGTTGACGGGCTTGACGAAGAGAACTTTGTCTATAGTTATAGCATTATCGAAGGTGATGCTTTGATGGGTGTGCTTGAGAAAATCTCCTACGAGATCAAGATCGAAGCGTCATCTGATGGAGGATCCATATGCAAGAACAATAGCAAATACCACACCAAAGGCGATGTTGGGATCACAGAGGACCAAATCAAGGGTGGCAAAGAAAAGGCCTTAGGAATGTTTAAGGCTGTTGAGGCCTACCTCTTGGCAAATCCGGATGCCTACAACTAATTAAATACTGCATAATATATGGTTTCATGAGTATGCCTTTGTATTATTACTTATATGTGTGGCGTTTTATTCTTTCTCAATTTCTTGCTTAAACTACCTTTGGCTTTTTAAAAAGCGGGAAAAAACTTCACTAAGATTGTAATCATCCACTTGTTTGTACTATTACATCTTATTGAAGAGTTCTTATTTTATTTGGAATACCAAACTCTCATAGTAAACTATATACGCATATATTTTTCTTCAATGTCAATTTTCTGAAGATCTTTTTCTTCATTTTAACGGCCAATTCATTTGGCATTCAGACATGAGAGTTGAAGTCCACTTTTTCAGTACCATGACGACCTAGTCTGTTGTTTGATAAAATGAATTAAAAAAATTTATAAGCTGAAGTTTTTAGCGGTAATCATAAATTCGAATTAATGTCTTTTATATTATTTTGTATTGCGAGCTTTCAACATTTCAACAAATTGTTTGAAAAACCTTGTCAATCTAAGTGGACATATTGGAGTTCTGAATAAATTGTCCCATAGTCTTTTGGGTCTTTATCAATGAAAGTTTTGAGGTCAATTACTCTGCCAACAAAAGAGTTATATACCATATTATCTAGATTTAATTTGCCTTACTCACCCAATGTACCAAAACAATCGTTCTGAATAAGGTTTATGTTCTTATCTTGGCTTTGAGAATAACAATTTTTATTTTTTATTTTTCTATTTCCAATTAAAACATAAGGTTTATGTTCTTATCTTGGATTTGAGAAGAGCAATTTTTATTGTTTATTTTTTTTTTTTATTTCCAATTAAAATAAAGTAATATCATTAGGAGAGCTCTAGCATGATAAGAGACGTGAACTCTTCACATTTAATACATAATTGAAAGATGTATGAACTCTCTACATTTAATAACAAGACTTCTAGAATCAGTTATGTATTTCTAATTTTCTCTAGATAAGTGAATGCAAAAACATGGAAATTTCAGTTTCCTGTTGTTAAAAGAAACAAAATTCAAACAACTTAATTTCAGCAATCTCTATAATCAATTATAGGATCATATATAGTCAACTTTAGTGATTTTATTTTCCATATTTGTGATACGTAGATTAGGCGATTAGCTTAATTGTAGACATTACTATAGGATCTTGTTTTTTGTCTTCTTGTATAAAAAGCTTGTACAATTCATTGAGGAATATATCAAAAATACAATTAAGGTATTTGGTTTCTTTACATGGTATCAAAGCCTTGAGCTCTTGGTGACCTAGAAACTATACCCAAACACAAAACCCTAGTTGTTCTTCCATGGTAGATGACAAACAGTCAAACATATCGGAAGGAACAAAATATGAAAACCCCAATCACCCACTCTATCTGCATCACCCAGATCAACCCGGTGTGATCCTTGTATCTCAGTCGCTGAGTGAAGACAACTACAGCACTTGGAGTCGTGCTATGATCATGGCCTTAAGTGCCAAGAACAAAATTGGATTCATTGATGGATCCATCAATAAACCAAACAGGACTGTAGTCTACGAATTATCACAATGGGACCGATGCAACAATCTAGTGAAATCATGGCTATTGAATTCTTTTTCAGAAGAAATCTCAGCTAGTGTCATCTACCCCTAATTTTTGGAGATTTATTTAATTATTTGAATTGCATTGCATTTTTATTTAATTATGTGGCTATTTGATTATTTGTTTGTGTATTTATTTGATTATTTGTTTTATTTAATTGATAATTGGTTTCATTTAATTTAATTTATGTTTGTTAATTATATGTGCATTTTTATTTGTTTGTCATGTGATCTGTTTGTGTAATTTAAATTATTTTAAATGATTAATTATTTAGTTAAATGATTTGTTGATTTCTAGTTTTATTTTATTTTAAAGAATGATGGATTTGGGTTGTAGCCCATGGACTAACTAGATGAGTCTTGAACTATTTGAGTGGGATCTTAAATGGGTTGGATAGTGACCAATGGAGATTAGTAGTTATATATATAATATGAGGTGTACATATATATATATATATATATATATATATATATATATATATATATATATATATATCTTTATTATTTTCATAAAAAAATAATATTTTATTAAATTTATTACCAAGTTAGAGTTTGTCAGACATATGTTAGGTTTAGAATATGTAGTATATATTTATCTATATATATACAATGAGAGTAGATCTAGAAAGAGAAAAGCAGAAAGCTAGAGAGAGAAAAAGGAAGAGAGTGAATGAAGAAGAAGAAGAATCATTAAAGAAGAAGAACAGAGGAGAAGGAGTTTATCTTTCGATCCGAAAGTTTAAAGCAAGTTCTCTGTTCTACACTTCTTCCTTAGATTTGTGATCTATATGTCTCTAGTATAACTTTAGGGATGTTTAAAGGATTATTAAAATTGTAATCCATATTTAAATTGATCTAGAACATAGGTTTTTATGAGTTTATGTTCATGGTTATTTAAATTGATAAATTCATGGCTTAGATCTGATTTTTAATGGATTTCTACATATTATAATAATGTATTTTCGTGCTTGTGTGTTGGTCGGATTTAGTAACATACTTTAGAAACCTTAACAATAGAGAACAAGGCTTAAACCTGTGACATATATTTTATAATTGGCTAATTTCGTTATCAAAATAAGTCCGATCGAATTGTAATTTTTCTATTCAAAATTTCAAAGATTGAAGATCGGATGCGGATTTGAAGAAATTCAAGTGTTCATGGGTTGCTACACTCCGAAATGATGAAAATAATGCTTTAGGAAAGTATGTGAGTGAGTGAGAATACTTAGAGAGTTTAGAAGGGTGAATGAAACAGAGAATATGTTTCTGGGCATTGGGAACCGGTAGCATAAACCTTGAATCGGTAGCAACCCTTGGCAAAATAGGTTTTGTCCACTGCCAATGTGAAACCGGTGCCACATTTTGGAACCGGTACCAAAAGAGCGTTGGATACCATTCTGCCCTTTGGGATCTGGTACCAAGATCTGGGAACTGGTTCCAGGAGTCCTGACAACATCAGATTTTAAGTTACCTTATTCTGTTGGTTTCCTTTTTTATCCCAATTTCTTTCCAAGTCTTAGGCATGAAATTTTTCGTATTTTCAGAGGGATTAGGATATTCAAACTCTATATAAACCTTGGCATACACATAGGTTTATTCATGACTTTTGGAAAAATCAATTTTATATTTTGAGAAAGCCTTTTAGAGAGAGAAAATTTAGAAAATCAAATCTGATTGTTCTGAATTTATTTATGAGAGAATTGTAATACCCCTAATTTTAAAAGGATAGTCTCGATATTTTAATTAATGGTTTTATTATATTTTTATTTAATTAATTGAATTATTTACGTATTTATTTTATTTGTTTAATTATTTAATTTATTTATGTGTTTATTTGTGTAATTGCTTTATTTGTTTTTATTATTATATGCTTATGTGAAAATTCATGTAATTGTTGTTGTAATTAAATGTTTTAAATTCGTGTCATTAGTTTTATGTGTATAACTATAGGTTTAGGGTTTTATATTTTTGTTTATGTAAGCACGTGGGTTAAGTTAGCCGACATAATTAGTTTGGTATTAGAATTAGGTTTTCTTAAAAGCCTATATATATATGAGTTATATGTCTGCAAGGGTTTTAGAACCCTATTCACAAACAGTGGAGGTAGAGAGAAAGAACAGAGAGGTTCGAGAGAGAACGGAGAGAGAGAAGTTAGGGTTTGGTTAGGGACAAGGGCTGAACTAAGGAAGAGTAATTGAAGCTTGCTCGTGGGTTGAACCAGGAGCAGCAGAAGTTGGTGAAAGCAATTCAGGTCGCTGGAATTACTAGAAAAGACAATTTAAGGTTTCAAAACTGAAACCGAAGGCAAGTTCCTATTCTAACTCCTTCCCTTAGACCTGTGTTCTGTGCATGCCTAGGTAGTCTCCACGGTTTAAATTAAAGTTAAAATATATCTTTTAAGCATGTTTGAATTGAATTTAGCTATGTTGAATTAAATTGTTTTATGGTTGATGGTTGTTCTTAATTAAATCTGGTTTTTGTTGGTTATAAACTTGTGTTTAATTCATGCCATTGATGCATGATAAATTATTATAATTAATTTGGGATAGAGATTGAACCCTAAGAATATTAATAAAAATAATACAGAGGCTCTGAACTTCGCCGGAGGCGAAAAAGATGAACAAAATTAAAGTTACAGCTCTCAGGGAAAGAGAGCTGGCTCTCTAAAGGAGGGAGCCAGCTCCCTGATGGACAGAGCCGGCTCCCACATGGAGGGAGCCGGCTCCCAGCACTATAGAGCCGGCTTCCAAGAGAGCAGAGATGGCTCTCAAAGTCCAGGAGCTTGCTGTCACGCTGGAACGTGCAGAAATTTGGTTTTTGGGTTCGGTTTGGCCGTTTGGAGTATTCTGAAGTTGTTTAAAATTGCAATTAATGTTTTAAATTTTTTTTTTATACCTATATAAATACTTAGAAAGCATTATTACATTAATATGCTAAGGAATGAAACAATATGAAGTTAAACAGTAAAACCGCATGTTGTGTATTGAATAGTTGATTTAATTGCTTACTGATATTTAGAAAATTTGTTTCTTTACATGATTTAATAGTGTTAATCATGTTTCAGCAGTGTATTAAGTGTATTTGATTATTTGAATATTGCTATGCTTAGTTTGGGTTAATTGATGTTCTACATTATAATTACCGCATCAATTATTTGGACTGTTTGGTATGTATATGCATCGGTATGGGACGGTGGCATATTAGGGATGGATTAGTTTAAAACACTAAGTTCTACATATTTTGGGAATGAATTAGTTCAAAACACTAAGTTCTACCTATTTTAAAATAAGTTAGATTAAGTATAAAAGTTAAATCCTATTTATATATATATATATATATATGTATATGCACCGGTATGAGACGGTGGCATATTAGGGATGGATTAGTTTAAAACACTAAGTCCTACCTATTCTGGGGATGGATTAGTTCAAAACACTAAGTCCTACCCATTCTGAAATAAGTTGGATTAACTATAAAAGTTAAGTCTTACTTATATATATGTTAGGTCAATAAATAGTTGAATGACATACCTTGTTTTAGATGGACTATATATATATAATTATGGTACCGTGATATGAGCTTGAGTCTCAGGATCATGGTTAAGATGCGTATATCGCCTAGGATGGATAATTGGACATAGTTGTTGTTCCCTGGTAGGTCTAGATATACTTACC